CGATAATGGCTTGAGATCATTGTTCCTATTACAAGAAGTAAAGAGAGAGAATCAGCTGACATTATTACTGTCAATTGATGTCGAAAAAGCTTTTGACAGGGTCGACTGGGGTTTTATGTTAGATATGTTAGAGGTCTTAGGAATAGGGCCTAAAATGTTGAAGTGGATAAAGGGACTTTATAAAGGCCCATCAGTGGCGGTTAAGGTAAATGGATCCCTTTCCCAGTTCTTCAAAATGTACAACGGAACTAGGCATGTCCATTATCTCCATTATTGTTTGTTCTATCTCTGGAACCCGTGCTGGTGAGGGAAAGACAGTGCGTAGATCTAGCTGGAATAATGGTAGGGGAAGTGGATCATAAGGTAACACAGACGATATGTTATTTTATATTGCAAATCCTAGAATAACGTTGCCTAATTTAATGAGAATATTGAAACTCTACGGGGAGTTGAAAAAAAAACCCTGCAAAGTCAGAAATTCTAAACATCAATATCCCAAAGTCAGAGAAGCTAAGTCTACAAAAAGAATTCCCATTCACCTGGAGGGAAAGGAAATGGGTTACCTGGGAATAAAATTGACCCCTTCAATAAAGGGCCTATACTGGGCATATTATATCCCTTTTAATAAATGAAATAAAAGATGAGCTGGGGAGACTTTCTAAGGGAGAAGCTTCCTGGATAGGTTGTATAAATCTGCTTCCAGTAAATCTACCAAGGCCTTTTTTGGGATAATAAAGAAGATGATACTCAGATTTATATGGGCAAATAAGAGATCGAGAATTCGGTATGAGGTATTGTGTAGGGAAAAAGGGAATGAAGGATTGGGTTTGCCTAACTTGAGGAAGTAGTTAGCGGTGATATTATCAAGATTAGTAGATTGGACATTTAGTTTACGAGGGAAAGGTTGGGTAAATATGGAAGGGATTTTGAGTAAGGCACATTTAGGGAAGATTGAATACCACAAACATTTTGTATATTAGACGTAAATACTATTTCACTGACAAAGTTTTAACTGCTTGGGATATAATATATAAGCAAAAGGGATGGAAATATAATTCCGTATTGACTCCTTTGGTTTGTACGGAGTATTTTCGCCCAGGGATGGAAAATGATTCCGGTAAATGGATTAATGATAAAAATGCACGTTTGAAGGATATTTTGAGTAAAGGGAAATTGCACACTTTTCAGGATTTAATGGCAAAAAAAAGTTATTTCTCACATTAGATGAGTGGTGGTACTGCCAATTAGGATACTTTGTTGCAATGCTCCCACAACCACTAAGGATATGTATCCGTTTGAAAACTTGTTGAACGTGAAGGTGGTGCCAAAACATGCCACCTTGAGGATGTAGAAGATCCTTATGGTCTGGAAGAAACTGATCCGCCCCCATTGTTGGGAAAATAGGAGAAGGAGCTTGGAACAGAAGTGAATGAGCAACAAAAGAATAAAGTATTCAAAGTTGCACATGAAGGGATAAATATCAGCACAGTAGAAATTAATTACAAAATGTTTGGCGAGATGGTATGATACACCAAGTGTGGCACATAAGCAGCAAGGGGATATTTCACCTTTATGTTGGAGAGGATCTGGGAAAAAGGGAACAATGGCACGTAGATGGTGGGATTGCCCAAAAATACAGGTCTACTGGAAGGAAATAATCCACTATATCCAGGAATTATGTGAGATTACGTTACAGAAAGATCAGTGGACGTATTTTATTTTATAACTTTGAGCCTTCAGTGAAACCGTACCAAAACAGGATATTATATAATTTACTCAGTACGGCTAAGGGCCTGAACCCCAAGTTGTGGCGGACCCCAGAGTCACCAAGAATAAATGATTTGGATAAACAGAGTTGAAAATATTTATAAATTGGAGGAGTTCTATCATATGGAGGAGGATAAAATGGAAACATTTAGGAAAACGAGTGGTTGGGCAGATTTTAAAAGCGCTAAAAGATACCTGGACATGGTCTGGATTTCAGGGGGATAGCCTAGAGCAGGGGTGGGCAACTGTGGCCCTCCAGCTGTTGCCAAACTAAAAGTCCCATGAGGCATTGCAAAACTGACAGTTACAAGCATGACTCCCAAAGGCAGAGGCATGATGGGACTTGTAGTTCACCAACAGCTGGCGGGCCACAGTTGCCCACCCCTGGCCTAGAGAGATTTTGACGAAGAATCGGACACGGAGAGTGGGTGAGAAGGGGAAAGGTCATAGATTTAGACAGATAAGTGTAAGGAGGAATTGAAAGTAGGCAAAAGGGGGGGACAGGGGGTAACTGGATAGGGGTGGGGGGTGTGGGATAGGTGGGTGTTGGGAAAGTAGCTTTAAAATGGAATGATGTATTTATAAAATGTGCGTGTATTAGGTTGTTTTATATTTGTATTGAAAAATGTAATAAAAGATCGAATGAAAAAAAAAAAGAATAAACCGGTCGGTGCTGCAGCTGAATGGTATTCCTGCAAAGAAAAAAGCAATGATTAACAATAAAAAAGTAAAATTGTAACAGTAGAACACTAACAACGAAAAAAAAAAAACTATTTTTGGTTTTTAAAATTTTAAATTTTGAGGGGATTTTTTTTTTTTTTTAGACTTTAAACTTTTTTAAAACAGATTATAGGGTCTCTCCAAATGCGATAGCCAGTTTCCTGACTACCTAACCTCTTTCGAGACCCCGTGTAAATATGTGCCCTGAACTGTGCCCTGTTGTACCCTGTCTAATACTCTACTAGTGTGTGGTAGCGATGGAAGCAGAGGCCAGGTTGGCCAGGACAGGAGGGACAAAAAAAGCAGGTGTCATGCCTAATTCCGTGTCTGCTACAGACACGACATCTTTTTTGGGGTGTCCTTTGGGTTGGGGTACCAGGAATGGCATCGGGAAAATGCCTTTCATGCAGCCGGCTAACTGCATCTGGGTTGAGAGGGTTTGAACCACAGCACCTTCTGGATACAAAAGGGCCGTGATGATCTCTTCCTGGAATTTTAGGAAGGATCCACTTCGTCCAGTTGTTTTGTAAAGCACAAAAGCATTATATAGCGGCAATTGAAATAAACAGACACTTTTTTGTACCAGCGTCTGGCTTTTCGGGAAACTAAGTACGGCTTCATCATCTGGTCGTTGAAGTCCACCCGTCCCATGTTAAGGTTATAGTCATGGACACAGAGGGGCTTCTCAACAGCACCATCTATCATGTCTGCGTGAATGGAAGACAAGACGAAAACATCCCGTTTCTAAGACGGTATTTACAAGCCGTTGGAGGAAGCACTCGCGATTAGGTCGCACAGTGCCACATACGCCAATTCCAAGATTATACAAATGTCTAAATAGTGGCACGCTTGAATAAAAATTGTCAATGTTTAAGTGGTACCCCATATGGAAAAAGGATGACACCAAGTCCAAAACTATCTTGTCACTGCTCCCATGTATTCTGGGCATCCGGGGGGCAGGTCTTATACAGTGAAGTAAATAAGTATTTGATCCCTTGCTGATTCTGAATGTTTGCCCACTAACAAAGAAATGATCAGTCTAAAAATCGAATGGTAGGTGTAATGTAACACTGAGAGACAGAACAGCAACAAAAAATTTGAAAGAAATGCATGTCTAACAAATTATGCATGTTCATGAGGGAAATAAGTATTTGATTCCCTATCATTCAGCAGGATTTCTGGCTACCAGGTGTCTTTTCATACAGGTAACAAGCTGAGATTAGAAGCAGTCTCTTAAAGGGAGTGCTGCCAATCTAATTTTGTTATCTGTATAAAAGACACCTGTTCACAGGAGCAATCAAACAATCAGATTCCAAACTCTCCAACATGGCAAAGACCAAAGAGCTGTCCAAGGATGTCAGGGACAAGATTGTAGACCTACACAAGGACTGGACTGGGCTACCAAACTATCGCCAAGCAGCTTGGTGAGAAGGTGACAACAGTTGGTGCAATCATTCGCAAATGGAAGAAACACAAAACAACTGTCAGTCTCCCTAGGCCTAGTGCACCATGCAAGATCTCACCTTGTGTCAATAATTATGAGAACAGTGCGGAATCATCCCAGAACTACACGTGAGAATTTTGTCAATGACCAGAGTCACCAAGAAAATAATTGGTAATACAATACGCCGACAAGGATTGAAATCCTGCAGTGACCGCAAGGTCCCTTTGCTCAAGAAAGCACATGTCAAGGCCCGTTTGAAGTTTGCCACTGAACATCTGAATGATGCAGAGGAGGACTGGTTGAAAGTATTGTGGTCATATGAGACCAAAATTGAGCTGTTTGGCATCAACTCAACTTGCCGTGTTTGGAGGAGGAATGCTGCCTATGACCTCAAGAACCCCATCCCAACTGTCAAACATTCTGCTTTCAGGTGTGTTTTTCTGCTAAGGGGACAGGGCAACTGCACCACATCAAAGGGACGATGGGCAATGTACTGTCAAATCTTGGGTGAGAACCTTCTTCCCTCAGACAGGGCATTGAAAATGGGTCGTGGTTGGGTGTTCCAGCATGAAAATGACCCAAAACACACACAGCCAAGGCAACAAAGCAGTGGCTCAAGAAGAAGCACATTAAGGTCCTGGAGTGGCCTAGCCAGTCTCCAGACCTAAATCCGATTGAAATTCTGTGGAGTAAGCTGAAAGTTCGAGTTTCAGCTACCAAACCTTAAGGACTTGGAGAGGATCTGCCAAGAGTGGGCCAAAATCCCTCCCTGAGATGTGTGCAAACCTGGTGGCCAACTACAGGAAACGTCTGACCTCTATGATTTCCAACAAGGGATTTGCCACCAAGTACTAAGTCATGTTTTGTGAAGGGGATCAAATACTTATTTCCCTCATGAACATGTAAATCGGTGCATAATTTGTTAGACATGCATTTCTTTTGAATCTTTTGTTGCTATTCTGTCTCTCAGTGTTACAATACCTAACATTCAATTTTTGGACTGATCATTTTTTTTGTGAGGAAGGAAACCTTCAAAATCAGCAGGGGATCAAATACTTATTTCCGTCACTGTACATCTTGACCCCATATCTGGCACGCTTGCTGGGGAGAAATTGTTTGAATGCAAGGCGGCCAGAAAAATTAATGAGGGACTCATCAACGCAGATGTTTTGCTGGGGAGTATAGATATCTGCAAATTTTTGGTTAAGGTGATTTAAAAGGGGCCTAATTTTGTAGAGCTGGTCAAATTCAGGATCACCCGAGGACAAAAGTGTGTGTTGTCGTTGAAATGCATAAAACGCATTATACTCTGTCACAGTCCCACCCCTCCACTGCTCCCTCTCTCCGGATCTCTGCACTCCCCTTTCCCCATTACACGCCCCTTCGTCCGCATGTAGCCCACATAAAGTGGTGTGCTGGATGCCAGGTGGTACCTCCTGCTGTGATTTCTCCACACCGCTCCTCGGCCGAGCACCGGGGAGTCTGCCTCCCCACATGCAGGCCACCTGGTTGTCGCCGCACATCCCCTCGTCTCGGCAGGCACAGGCTGGCCCTGCTGTTCCCTCGCTCTGTACCCACTGAAGACAAAAGCTGTGCTCCCTGTGCACAGCCAGAGTGAGGGGGTGGGGCTTGTTTCCATGGAAACCCGATGCTAGGGTGGCCTTTGCCTGGCAACCTGTGAGCGTCCTGCTCTGTTGATAAAAGACTGGAGCAGGGCCTGGACAGCGTGAATCTTCCCCTGCTCGCAACCCAGTGTGCTGTGAGAGGTCTTTTGCTGTGGCCAGACCCTAAAGCCAAGCTGGACTTAACCCATTGCCTGCCAGAACCTGCCTTCTGCTGTATGCCCCCAGACTTAACCGATTGCCTGCCAGACCCTGCCTTCTGTTGTGTGCCCCCTGGACTAACCCATTGCCTGCCAGAGTCTGCCTCCTGCTGTGTGTCCCCTGGTCTAATTCATTGCCTGACAGAGCCTGCCTTCTGCTGTGTGCCCCCCCCCGGACTAATTTATTGCCTGCCAGATCCTGCTTTCTGCTGTGTGCCCCCGGACTTTGCCCATTGACTGCCAGAGCCTGCCTTCTGCTGTGTGGCACTTGGACTTTACCCATTGCCTGCCAATCTGCCGCCCTGTTGTGTGCCACCTGGACTTAACCCATTGCCTGCCAGTCGGCCGCCTTGTGTGCTCCTTGTCGTATGTCCCAGCCTGTGGTACAGACTTAACTTTTGTTTTGCAAAAATCTTGCTATATTCATCGTGCGCCCTCCAAATCACTCAATAAAAGCCTTGTGTGCCCCACTGCTCTCCGCGTTTGTCTGTCCCACCTACACCTCCGTCACATACTCTCATATCTATGCCTGGCCATGGCAGCAGAGAACACTGGCATATGATGAATCAGGTCTGTGGACCAATTCTTTTTTTTTTTTTTTAGTAATGCCCATGTTGAGGGTTAGGCACAAAAAAACTTTACATTCGGAAACCGTAATGGGTTTCCATGCGAATGGTCTGGTAAGGTTTGAATGTGAGTTGGCAGCGATAAACTGTTGTGCATATAAATTGTTTTGATCCACAATCAATGCATACAGATCTTCTTTGACAAACCGCTCCAAAAAATCAAGGGGAGTATTTAAATTTGCTGTTTCCACCTGAATTCCGGGTTTAACAGTGAATGGGGAAAGTACGGGTGCTGCAGAATTTGTGGGCTGCCAATCGGGATTTGCAAGCACATCCGGAAGGATACTAGGGGCTCTACGGGCCTGTGTGCAAATTCTTGGTGGCTGTGGGACACTACTTGTGCCCACCACAGCACCAGCTTGTACTGCACTTATGTCACCCCACTTCACCAAGTGATACTGCAGTGCTGGCATATGAAAGACCAGAATGTACTAGGCGCTGGTGCTCGCCAGTTCACCAAAAGGTAGAGTGGCACTAGTTCTGGCACTCTGCTGCATATGAGAGTCATCATTCGTTTGGAACATCTCAGCAACCTGGGAATGGGGTCGGGTACACCTGACCTTAGCAGGGACCTCTTCTCCATCGTCTGAGTTATCTCTCGGTATTACTGCTGTCTACGGGTTCATATTCTGAGGCTGATTGTGTCAGGGAGTCTTCCCCTTTGCTCTCACCTGACATGCTCAGAATCCTGTTGACCTCTTCACTAGTGTACCTTTCGTTGGACATTTTGGCCACTAAATTTATAGGTACCTAGTGCAACTCATGGGAAAAAGAGCACCTGGTTTGTAGGGACTGCTTGAACCGCTACAAAAAAAAATTACTGCTAAGTGGTAACAGACATCATTCCTGATTCTGCGAACACTGCGGTTTTGTGAGCAATGTATCAAGTGACCGTGACCTACTGACACTGCACTAGCTAGGGAGGGGGGGGGGGGGGGGGGGGTAAGCGTAGGGGCTAAATGCAGGTGTCGGGGCTGATCCTGATAACGCTGCGTTTTTGAGGACATTATACTAATGTGAACGCTGGTATAGTGCTGATCTGATCAAAGATATCGATCCGTTCAGGCATTGTACTGGCAATGGAGGTTTATTGTGTATGTGAACGTGTTCCTGGCAATCAAGGGGTTAAATGTGATTACTGGTGTACTGGCGGGCAATGTGACGCTATCTGGGAGGGGCGCTGTCGCTAACACTATCTGAAGTCGCCGGCGACACTAATACAGTAATTGGCAAAAAATCTGTACACTGTACTAATGACACTGGTGACAGGGCAGAGAAGGAGTTAACTGAGGGGGCGATCAAGGGGTTAATATGTCCTAAAGTGTTCGAACTGTAAAAGTGTGCTGCTTTTGCTCACTGTGTTGATTCTTCTCTCTCTGGAACGGAATGTGCCCAGAGAGAGAAGATGTCATAATTTCCTGTACCTGTGTAACTGTAAACACAGGTACAGGAAGATCCATGATAGGACAGGGATTGATCATCTGACTTAAGCCGACCATCACTGGCCTAAATCGGATGAATCACGTGTGTGGTGTGTGTGTGTGTGTATGTGTATATATATATATATATATATATATATATATATATATATATATATGAGGAACAGAAGTATTTGAACACCCTGCGATTTTGCAAGTTCTCCCACTTAGAAATCATGGAGGGGTCTGAAATTCACATTGTATGCATTCCCACTCTGAGAGATAGAATTTTAAAAAAAAAATTCAGGAAATCACATTGTATGATTTTTAAAGAATTTATTTGTCTTGCACTGCTGAACATAAGTATTTGAACACCTGAGAAAATCAGTGTTAATATTTGGTACAGAAGCCTTTGTTTGCAATTACAGAGGTCAAACGTTTCCTGTAGTTCTTGACCAGGTTTGCACACACTGCAACATGGATTTTGGCCCGCTCCTCCACACAGGTCTCCTCTAGATCTGTCAGGTTTCGGGGCTGGTGCTGAGCAACACGAAACTGAAACTCAGCTCCCTCCAAAGATTTTCTATTGGATTTAGGTCTGGAGACTGGCTAGGCCACTCCAGAACCTTGATATGCTTCTTACGGAGCCACTCCTTGGTTATCCTGGCTGTGTGCTTCAGGTCGTTGTCATGTTGGAAGACCCAGCCACGACCCATCTTCAATGCTCTGACTGGGGAAGGAGGTTGTTGCTCAAAATCTCACAATAAATGGCCCCATTCATCCTCTCCTTAATACAGTGCAGTCGTCCTGTCCCCTTCGCAGAAAAGCACCCCCAAAGCATGATGTTACCACCCCCATGCTTCACAGTAGGGATGGTGTTCTTGGGATGCAACTCATCCTTCTTTTTTCCTCCAAACACGACGAGTAAAGTTTAGACCAAAAAGTTATATTTTGGTCTCATTTGACCACATGACTTTCTCCTCTGGATCATCCAGATGGTCATTGGCAAACTTCAGACGGGCCTGGACATGTGATGACAGTCGTCTTTAGCCTCTTCCATTTTCTAACAATTGCTCCAACAGTTGATCTATTTTCACCAAGCTGCTTGGCAATTGCCCCCGTAGCCCTTTCCAGCCTTGTGGAGGTCCACAATTTTGTCTCTGGTGTCTTTTGACAGCTCTTTGGTCTTGCCCATGGTAGTAGTTGGCGTCTGACTGTGGGGTGGACAGTTGTCTTTAAAGAGGTCAGACAGCTGCTACTAAGTTAGATTAATGAGTGGAGTAGAGGTGGACTTTTAAAGGCACAGTAACAGGTCTTTGAGAGCCAGAATTCTTGCTGTGTTTTAGGTGTTCAAATACTTATGTTCAGCAGTGCAAGACAAATAAATTCTTTAAAAATCATACAATGTGATTTCCTGAATTTTTTTTTTTTAAATTCTGTCTCTCAGAGTGGGAATGCACATACAATGTGAATTTCAGACCCCTCCATGATTTCTAAGTGGGAGAACTTGCAAAATCGAAGGGTGTTCAAATACTTCTGTTCCTCACTGTATAATATATTTATGATTTTGAGCAGTATTTCTGCTATAGGGCAGCATGGAAGCGGTTAAAAAACATGGGTAAACTGTCTACATATTTAAATTTCTAACTCTTGTCATTACTGCTGAATGCGCTAGGGATTTCATTGATTCTTCCTGTCATTGTATAACTGCCTGCCTGTAGGAGGTATGAGCAAACAGCTTACACTGACAGACTGCAAGAGCCCTGCATTGCCCCCTAATCTGCTGATCACGGGTGCAATGTTCTGCAGGCTCCTAATAAAAATAATAAATGCACTTTTTTTTTTTTACTTGCAAAATTATGTACTTTTTCTTTTTCTTTTTTTTTTTTTTTTTTTTTTGGAGAAAGGCTAACTTATCCTTTTAATGCACAGAGTTTCTACCCTCTCTCCAGCCTTTTTGTATCCCTAATGTCCTTGTGTTTGAATATACACACTGTTTTGAGGGACTTTGTTGTCCTAGGATGCTAATTAACTGCTTTCTGACCACCCTATGGCAAAAATACTGCTACAGGGAGGCACAGGTGTGCAAAATCACATATATATGTGCTTTTGCATTTCCGGGAAGGGGGACGCGCCCTACCCACGCAGCCATTCTCGGCCGCGGCTGTTAATCACTGGGTCCCGACCGGTAATTACTCGCTGGCGCCTGATGATTGCCGAGCATCTCCGACAGGGAGAACTGTTTGTAAACAAAATAGTTCTCCCTGTCAGCTTGTGCACACTGCTTTGGATTGCTATGCACAGCACAGCCATGCAAAGCAGTGTGCTTACAGTGAAGCACACGTACACAGACGTAAGTAAACAGCACACAGTTAACCCTTTGATCGTCCCTCATGTTAATCCCTTCCTGCCCAGTGCCATTAGTACAGTGTCAGTGTTTTTTTGGTTTTTTTAGCACTGATCACTGTATTGATGTCACTGGGGATGTCAGTGACAGCAAGTTTCCCCCCAGTGTCAAAATGTCCGCTGCAGTCCCGCTATAAGTCGCTGATTGCCACCATTACTAGTAAAAATAAAACATTAAAAAAAATCCCAGTACATATACCGCCATTTGTAAATGCTATAACTTTCACGTAAACCAATTAATTTAAACGTATTGGGGTTTTTTTTTTTATAGCAAAGACAGCGGAATACATTTTGGCCTAAATTTATAACAAAATATTGCTTTTTTAAGAAAAATGTTACTAGACATGTTTAATAGCAAAAAGTCAAAAATATTGATTTTTTTTTCTCAAAATTGTTGGTCTTTTTTTTTTTTTCTTTTTTTTTTTTGGCGCTATGAAAAAAAAAAAACGCACAGATGATCAAATAGCACCGAAAGAAAGCTCAATTTGTGTGAGGAAAAAAAGACGTAAATTTCATTTGGGTGCAGCAGTGCATGACTGCGCATTTGTCCGTTAAAGTTGTGCAGCACCATAACACAAAAAATGGCCAGGTCAGGAAGAGGGGTAAATCCTCAGGAGGGCAAGTGGTAATGGCATCCTACACAGTCATTTTATTTACAAAGTGTTCATAGCTTTATAAAATACTTGTAAAAGCTATACTACATTATGACTATAACATCCTGTAATGGGATATGCACTGTTTTCTGCATCTTTTATGCATAAAAAACTTTAAGAAAACTTTCTTGGGGGGAAAAAAAAACATGTATTCTTTGTTTTTAATGATAATTATGCTGATTATCACTTTTAGATTAGTTGTTCTTTTGTGGGTGTTATTCTGTACTTGACTTTTCCCAGGTCTAATGTTTCTTTCTCTTAATTGTGATAAATACACTGCTCAAATAAAAGGAACACTTTTTAATCAAAGTATATAAACATCAAGTCAATTAAACTTCTGGGATGTTTATCTGGTCAGTTAAGTAGTAGAGGGGGTTGTTAATCAGTTTCAGCTGCTTTGGTGGTAATGAAATTAAAAACAGGTGCACTAGATGGGCAACAATGAGACTAACCCCAAAACAGGAATGGTTTTACAGGTGCAAGCCACTGACATTATTTTCCCTACTCATTTTGTCTGACTGTTTTTCACTAGTTTTTCATTTGGCTAAGATCAGTGTCACTACTGGTAGCATGAAGGCGATACCTGTACCCTACAGAGGTTGCAGAGGCAGTCCAACTCCTCCAGGATGGCACATCAATATGTGCCATTGCCAGACAGTTTGCTGTTGTCTCCCAGCACAGTCTCATGAGCATGGAGGAGATTCCAGAAGACAGGCCGTTGCTCTAGAAGAGCTGGACAGGGCCATAGAAGGTCCTTAACCCATCAGCAGGACCGGTATATGCTTCTTTGTGCAAGGAGGAACAGGATGAGCACTGCCAGAGCCCTACAGGATGACCTCCAGCAGGCCACTGGCGTGAATGTCTCTGACCAAACAATCAGAAACAGACTTCACGAGGGTGGCCTGAGGGCCCAACATCCTCTAGTGAGCCCTGTGCTCACTGCCCAGCACCATAGAGCTCAGTTGGCATTGCTATTGAACACCAGCAGTGGCAGGTCCACCTACTGGTGCCCTGTGCTTTTTTACGGATGAGAGCAGGTTCACCCTGAGCACGTGCCAGACGTGAAAGAGTCTGGAGAAACTGTGGAGAATGTTACGCTGTCTGTCGTTTAGCGTGACCGTTTTGGTGGTGGGTCAGTGATGGTCTGTGGAGGCATATCCATGGAGGGATGCACATACCTCTACAGGCTAGACAATGGCACCCTAAATGCCATTAGGTATCAGAGTGAAATCCGTGTACCCATTGTCAG